AATGTTAATCGTTTCGTGTTCCATGTATCATCATAATATCTAATATACAGTTTGTTTTGTTTGTTTTTTGGATTTTCTTTCCGGTTTTTAATAAAATATCTATTTAAAAAACAAAAAATGAAGCACGAAAACTCTGAGGGCAGCTATGTTCTTGTACGTCTCCGCCTCCACACTAAATCATCTAAAGACACGATCGAAACTGTTAGAAAATTAAATTAAATTCGTCTTTGTCTCTTCGAGGAAAGAGAAACATAACCGGAACAAGGAAATAGATGATGAAGAAGAAGGAAAATAAATACGACAACTGCGCTCACAGTTTCCCTTCCAATCGTCAGATCCGCCGACAAAAAGCGTGAACAACATTTACGTGATATAGATTTTTTTGTTTAAAAGTATTTTTCGTTTAGAATTAGAGTACTTTGATTTATCCATTCTTCATTTTTATAATATATATATGATTGAGAGAACATCGATTGATTGACATCAGCCTAACACACAAATATATATGTAAATAATCGCGTTATAAAAAAAATGTTTAGGTTCGAACGAAACTCACATCTTCTTTTGCTTCAAAATACTGTTGATTCACATTTTGTTTCAATACAAATCATATAACCAGGGTTCGAAAAAAAAAAACAAAACAAAATCGAAACGAATGTATTAAGGTAAGGTGATTTAATAGGGATGTTTTCTTCTTTTTTGTTACGCTTCTTTTTTTTTTTTTCGAGCCCTGCATACAACGATAACAACTTAATTACATAACACTTAAGCATCGTGTGTGTGTTTGCAGTGTAGTGTGTAGTAGTTTATGAGAGAGAGTGTGTGTATGTCTCGCGGCTAAGTAAACAACATCTATGAAGGAAACGTGTTGAAATGATTTAAGATTGAGAGAACTGAAGACGTTTACGTGAACTCGATACGTGAGATGTCCTTACGATGTAAATGTTTACGCATATTTTATATCATTATCAAATAACAAGACACTCGTGTGAGATTGTTTGCAAATTTTATAAGTGTGTTTTTCAATTTTTTTATTTGTCAAAACTAACTCGATTTTTTTGGGAAACTAAATTATTGTTATTTAGACTCGCGTCGTGTGGTGTTTGCTAAGTAAATCAGAGAAGGCTAAGTAATGTATCTGAACCGAAGAAAACTCGTAGCAAAGTTTTTGCTTCGCGTGTCGTGATGTGTGTGTGTATTCAGCGATAAATCAGACAACAATTCATAATCATCCCTATTTACAATATCACAATATAAATTTATATAATATAATTTACAATATCTTACATGTTGATATTTCGTTTTACGCCCTAAACCCAAGAAAAAAAACAAAAAAAAAACCAATAACGAAATCTCTCTCTCTCTCATCATCTCATCTTTCATTCGCTCCAAACTCTATCACACTCTCTATGAACGATACGCATTTTTTTTTTAACTTATCCCATTTGTTTTTTGTTTTTTTCATTTTTTTTTCGCTTGGACAAAACGAAGAAGGAACCATTACAGATCCGTCCTCTACATCATCCACTAAACAACACGTATCTACATACTTTCTCTTTTCATATATATTTTTTTTTGTCCACTATTATAAAAAGCTCGAATTTCCACTCAGTCCAACACAGGAAAATGCGATTCCAATCAGTTTGCGTATTTACATAAAAAAACAAAACAAATTTTAACAACTTAATTACTTATTTTTTTGTAGAGGAAACGAAACTGCGCACGGTAAAAACACACACGCGTTTCTTCAACTGTTCTTCCTCGATTGTTCGATTACACGTAAAAATAACAACAACAACAACAAAAATCCAAGGTTCAAACGAAAAACTTCTCCTGAAAACCTGTAGCGCCCCCGGCCATTCTCATCTTAACACCCACAAAAAAAAATGTATAAAATAAACGAGGAAAAACGAGGAAAGATATGAGAGTAATAATATAAATTATAACAAGGACTAAAAGTAAACCCAACTAAACTAAGATATTTAATAGAAACACAAAAAAAGAAAAAGATATGGATAAAATAATAGTAATAATTATACACTTTGTTTTCTTGTATTTTTTTTTTCTTCTCTTCTTGAAGCTATGTCTTGTAAATATATGTATACATTGATGCTCTTTGTTAGTGTGATTAATAAAAAATATACGTTAGAGTTAGTTTGACTTGATTCTCTGACTTGTAGCTCTTTAGATCGCTCGAAAACAAAACATAGTGTATATGGTGTGGGTAAAATATGGTTTTTTTCGTCTTGTATTTGTTTTTTTTTTCTTGACAGGAAGTGTGTGTGGGGATGGGGGTGGTATTGGGGTGGGGAATGGGCGTCGTGGAATGGCGGGAAGTGGAGGACCTAGTCTTAATCTTCATTTAGATGTAAGAGTAGGGTCCGTCCGTGAGGGCGCTACATAGCAGTAGTCAGGAGTTGTCGTCCTTGTTGGAGCCGCCGCCTCCCGTTCCGCAGCCCTGCCCCGCGTTCGTCCTGCTCCGAACCTGCTTGTACTCTAATCCAGGATCGAACTGCATCAGCACGAACACCTGGATCATCAAGAAGAAAATTGATTGAATTGAATCGATCTAAACTTGCATAAATACACGAGTTTCGTTCTTTACCTGATCCGTCGGTAGAAGCTGGAAATCGTCCGGTGGATTCGTGATCACGTACCTCTTGCTGCTCGCATCGCACGAGTTGCTGGTGTCCCGGAATCTGTACAAACCTATGCACAACATCCCGAACTGCTTCAGCGCAGCGACGAAGAGATCTCCGTACTTTCCCGTCTCCCCGTATTGAGCCAGAGGACCATCGTACAAAGATATTTGACCCACCCTGCATCTGTCTCTGTTCGATAAACTTTCCTGCGTACTGCAACAAGAAACACAAAATATAATTATCTTATCATTTGGCTGCATAATTCGTGTTCAAATTTAAGAAAAAAAAGAAACATTAACGATGTAAACTTGAATGGTAACT